CCAGGTAAGATGATTTGATAAAGCCATTTGCTGCGGTGCCTGGCATTTGAGTTCAATCCCGGAATCCATGTGGTAGAAAGCGAGACTGGACCTCTACAGAGGAGCCGTGGCGTGCACGTGCGTGGGCGCATGCACAAATGTAAAAACAATTAAAAATAAAAAAGAACAGTCATAAAAAAATGCTGTGATAAAATTTCTTTCAAACACATAAATTACTTGTGTCTGGAATGTTCCACATACTCCTTTAGGTTATAGGTGACAGGACTACCTGAAACCATGACAAGCAAAATCATAGTCGAGATCAATACACAAGTTTCAAATGAGGGAATTTATTTTCATTTCTGATTATTCATTATTCATATTAACGCCTGTTTGGTATGTTGTTTAGTATTGTATAGCGCTCACAGGTCACATTCAGCCTCTGCCCCCTTCTTGCCAAAGCTTCCCAGCCTGCAGCCATCTCTGCTCTGCCTACAGGGCAATCGGTACTCACTTTTCCCATGGGAGAGAGACCAGCGCTTCTCTTCCCCAAGCCTTTCCTCTTGTTTCCCAGAGGATAAACTACAGCCATTACAGACTCAGAGCTCTGGGCCCCACTTTGCCATCGGTGGCTCCCACTCTATGTCCACCTCAAGACCTCAGCCATGCCTTACCCTCCTCCTGGACCCACCCTGGCAGTCAGCTCATGTCCTTTCTCAACTGTCCCCAGCCCTGTTCCTAAAATCCCCCTCCCCCCCAGCCACCCGCTGTCTCCACTCCCTGCTTCAGATTGTTTCAGTATCTGTGGTGACCATTTCTGACTACCTGGTTTGTTGTTGTTGTTTTTTTTCACCAGGCGATATGAATTCCTCAGGGCTGGGGATGGGGCGGAGCTCACATTTTGTTCATTATTGCTGTGTGCTCTGCTCCAGAACAGTGCCTGGCACATAGGAGAGGCCGAGTGTGTGGCATGAACGCACTAAAGTCTGTGATTGCTCAGCGGCTATAGGCAAGCTGTATGTATAGAGTCTTCCTGGATAAAGACGTCTTTATAACAATGTGAAAGTTTGGAGACATCGCGATGCCTTGTTCGATCTTGAACTGGAAGGCTACAATGCTGTAAAGATAGCTATGTTTATATCTGTAGTGTTTCCAGATTAAAGGCCAAACAATGGCCAGTAGTCAGAGCGGGCAAGAACAATGGGAAAAGCTGTTTACAGTTTCCTTGTGGCGCAAACTGGTTCTCTGAGCTCTGTTTCTTCATAAGTGATATTAACCCTTTCGGGGATCACTAGACTTCAGTGCGGTGCAGTGGGCTAACTCTTGTCTGACTGGTGAGGAGGTCGTGCCAGTCATCCAGACCTGGTGCCCTGAGTTACAAGTAGCTCTTGACAGAACTACCGTTCGGGTAGCCTGGCTCCCTTCTCCACAGAGCACCTGCGTGCCCACTGGGCCAGGACAAGCTGGAGGGCCTGTGTTGTGTCTTACCTATCAGGGACTCTCATGGCAATGCTGAGAGCTGCCCTGTTAGTCTCCAGGGCTGTCAGCCTATGTCACACCTTGGCCTCATGCTAACAGGAACTGCCCTTGGCCCACATGTCCTGTTTCAATCGGGGTAGAAAATGAATCCTTCCCCCAAACACGGCTAGCCACACACCCATTCAGGAAGCCACTGGGGTTGGACATTCCATCTAGTCTGCAGCTGGCTGCGTAGGAAATGCTCTTATTATCTTATTATTATCTTCATCCCAGGTGGGCCGCAGTGGCAGGCCATAGCGCCTGGCTGGAGATAACTGGCCGGGAGAGGAGAGCCCTTACCCGGATCCGGAGATCTGTGTGAGCCAAGCCATCCATCAGGTGGTGGACATTTCGCCCGCCCTGAAGCCTTCCTCCCTTTCTCCAGACTCTGTGTCCCTCTGCCTTCTAGCACCTGGTTCCTTCCCTCCAGACCCTCTTGAGGGAGAAGGGGTTTTGGTCTCTGACTTAGAGGCTGCCCTCCCCTCGGCTACTAAGAAGATCCGGGATGTCCTCATGAGGGTGGTATTTGACCCCCAATCTCCACAGACCCTTGTGCTAGCAGAAAGTGCCTTTTCTGCCCTCCGAAAGCCACTTCCGGGAGGCAAAGCTTCAGGAGAGGGGAGCAGATGTCAGCCGAGACACCCAGCCATCGATCTACTCAGTGCCTGTATTTTCCTACCAATTTTGTATTTTTCAAAAAGGACAATAAAACAATTGTACTCCAGGCTAATTAATGACAAGCTGGTAAAAGCATCTCCTCATTGTTCCATTTATTTCTCCATTTCTCCCAGTTAACAGCCCTGTCTCTGAAATGAATCAATGTCGTTTACACAATGCTGTCACCCCCATTGTTCCTTTATCATCCTCCATTTTCATAAATCGGGGTGTTAATCCCTTAATGGCTTTTCTCAGCACTTAAAAAAAAGGAGGGGGGGGGAGCCCAGTCCCAGCTCAGTCTTAATCCACCCGAGACAAAGCCTGTTTTCACAGGCGGCCCTGCCCTGAATTCAGCTTGGGGATTTAGCCCCTTCTGTTTGTTGGCCAAACAGGAGCTCCCACCCCAGGACACGCCCCCATCTAGTAGGGTCCTCCCCAAAGCTGCCCACCACAGGCACGAGGTCCTGCCCCCCCCTCCACCCCTCCACCCCAAGTTTGGCCCTGCACCTGAGGGAGTGCCAGACTGGAGGAAGAGGGTTTGGGAAAGGCAGTGTGGAACTGTGAGGTCCCTGGATAAACAGGGTCCACAGCACCTAGGCACCTGATGCACTCCAACATCGAGATCCACCCTCCCAGACTGTTTCATTCTAACCTTAAACAGAGGAGATGCAGAAGGACCTCTTATCTGAAAGGCTTCCATTGGAAGTGCTTTGGATTAAGGACAATTGTGGGTTGGGAATATTTGTATATACTTCGTAAGATAACTGGGAGGCCACACCCAAGTCTGAACACCGAATTTCTGTGTCAAACATACCTTACACAGCCTGTCAATAATTCCGTGCAATGTCTTACAGTGACCATGACAGACCCATGAGGTCAGGTGTGGAATTCTCCACTTCGGACGTCATATCGATCTCAAAAAGGAGGTCGGGAGTTTTAGATTCTGTTCTGATTAGAGATGTTCTATCTGCATATAAAACACGATCAGTTCAGTAAGTGGCTGTTGTCTGGTTTCTGATATATTTGGCACAACATAGGTAAGTAAGCGACATCATCAGAACTGGGGCTTCCAAGAAGGTCAATCTGGTGGAGACATTTTCTCATGAAGTTCCCTCTTCCCATAAAACTAGCCAGCACAAGCAGCTACAGTAACATTGGATGTTCTGTGGCACCCAGTGGATGTCAGGGAGGCGTGAGGTCTGGTTTATAGCTACCCGCCTTACCACCGAGAGCTAGTGGGTTTTACTGCTTGGAAGCAGAAGTAGGATTCAAATCGGGATGGCTGCTGGTTCTGCTCTACAGCCATGCAGCTATACGAAGAAAAGATGAAATGACTGGTAACCGACCACCGACAGGCAGCTGAGACATTCGGTCTCACCCCGTACCCATATGGAGAGATCATGTTACTAAAGATGTGATTGCTTCTCTCCCCCCCCCCCCCCACTTCCCCATGGTTTATGGGAACACATTACAAAATTCCCTTAGGAATCACCCTCGTTTGCTTCCATTCCCCCCATTCCAGTGGGGTCACCCTTCACCCTACTCTCTTTTAGTCTAGAGATCATGTGTGGTCAACAGGTCTCACCTTTCTTCAGAATACCCAGGCATACAGACCAAATACACCAGAAGTCCCTGCCCTGGCTTGCTTCTCTATTGCTGTGCTAAAACACTGACCAACCTCAATTTGACTGAGGATGTGGGATGTTTATTTCCTATTTCATCTTACAACTCCTAGGTCACCATCCATCACTGAGGGAATCCAGGGCAGGACCTCAGGGCAGAAACCTGGAGGCAGGAGCTGAAGCAGAGACCTCAGAGAAGCGCTGCTTCCCGGCTTTCTTCCCTTGGCTTGATTAGCTCCCTTTCCTGTCTTCTCTAGGCACACCAGTCTAGGAAAGACACTGCCCACAGTGGGCTAGGCCCTCCCATGTGAATCAGAAACCAAAGAAATGCCTACGCAGACATGCCATCACACCAGTTGATGCTGGCAACTCCCCAGCTGAGATTCCCTCTTGTCAGGTTATACCTAGATATCTGTCAAGTAGACAAAAACAGCCACAGCCATTGCTAAAGACATTCTTTGCTCTCCAGTGGGGAGAGCATGTCTAAAAGGAATGCCCGGATGAAGAAAGCAGAATGGGTATTCCCATGAGTTGCCTGAGCTCGGGGATCTGGCTATGCTTGAGGCCTTTCTGCTCATGCTCAAACTGTGCAGGTATGAGCATCAGCTAATATGAGTTGCACTCGACAGTATACCGACTTTCGCCAGTTGTTGTAAGTAGTAATTGACCCTGCTCAAATCCTGTGCCCTGTCTACTCTGAATGTTCTCCTCCCATCAAGTAGAATGTCCAAGTTGAAAACCTTTTCTGTAAAAGCTGTTCGTCAGCTACCATCTCCCTTGCCCACCACCCCACCATCCTTCTTACCCACCACCCCACCATCTCCCTTACCCACCACCCCACCATCCCCCTTACCCACCACCCCACGATCCCCCTTACCCACCACCCCACCATCCCCCTTACACACCACCCCACCATCCCCCTTACCCACCACCCCACCATCCCCCTTACCCACCACCCCACCATCCCCCTTACCCACCACCCCACCATCCCCCTTACACACCACCCCACCATCCCCCTTACACACCACCCCACCATCCCCCTTACCCACCATCACATCAACATTACCATCTACACAGTCACCTCCACTATCATCACCTCCAGCTCTATCCTCACTGCCATCATCAGAAGTTCAACTCTCTCATTATCTTCACCACCACCTTCTACACCACCATCACCTCGACTGCCATCGTCTCCAAGGCTACCACCATTGCCATCATCAGAAGATGAACACTATCGCCACCACCAACATCAACTCCTATACCACGATTACCGCTACTATTACTTCTTACATCATCGGCACCATGACTACCAACTCTTACACCAGCGTCACCACCTTTGCTACCACCACCTGCAAGTCTATCCTCACGGCCAGCATCAAAAGCTCAACACTATCATCACCATCACCTCCAATACCATCATGACTCCCTCCACATGTCCATTTCAGCACCTAAAACTATAGTCTCTACCATGTCTAGTCCATCACCTAAAACTATAGTGATGGCCCCTTCTTGTGCAATTTCAGGTAAGCTTTGTATCAACCTTCAAGAGGTTTTTCAGGGGATCTGTGCACTCACTGAACTGTGAGCCCCTTGAAGGCAAGGATTCTCTCACTGAGTGATAGAACATACCATGCTCTCATTATGGAGAACCTAGATTCATGAGCAGGGACTGTGGCAAAGGCATTCTCTCTCTCTCTCTCTCTCTCTCTCTCTCTCTCTCTCTCTCCATTCATACCCCAAGTCCCTTTAGTGCTTATCAACCATGCCAAAGAGGGGATGAGTCTCATCCCAGCTGGTGATGAGGAAATTCCTGATGCCTCCTTTCTGGGTTAAAATGATGTCTAACTTTCTGATCATAGAGCCAAGCATGGGTAGGGCAGACTGGGACCTTCACTCTTTTTTGCTTCTATTGCCTAGCATTCCAGTGGGGTCACCATTCACCCTACTCTCTTTCAATCTGGTGATCATGTAACCCAGCCTGGCCCATTAGTTTGAGCCTAAGTCCAAAACAATTGACGGAGATAAGCAAGTGACTTGAGTCAGGTAGATAAAGAGTCACATCTTATCTCGGTCAATTGTTTTGACTTAGGCTTAAACTAATGGACCAGGCTTGGGTCACATGACCCAAGATTGTGATGCATTTTCTTAATTGGTAATTGCTGTAGGAGGCCCCAGATTATTTTCTCAACACGGTGCAGTGCATCCCCCTCAAATTATAAGTCGAAATGACCTCTTCTTCCCCCATGTTGTCTCTTGTCGAGTATCTCGATCCTGCAATGAGAAAAGGAATTAGTATCACCCCACACCCTTCCCTTGCTGTCTCCACCAGTCCTTAGAGTTGAAACAATAAAAAATAAATAAAAAGCAGATGCAATTCAGGGGCCCCGGATTCAACATCCCCAAGAAGAAACTGTAGAACGCTACATCTTAGAGTACCACGGACTTGCCTGAGAGGCTTCATAGAAACTTCCTCTGCTACAGGATGTCTTCCCGGCCTTTGGGGTTCCAGAAGTAGAAAGGTGTGGAGTTAGTTGGAAATCCACTCCCTGGGAGTCTCAAAACAATCCAGTGATCTTTAATCTTGATTCCAGTGTAAGTGATCGACTTGTACTGTCGACATTTGTGAGCCCCTGTCTCCATGACCATATTAACACTCCATGATGGCAAGGACTGTACCTTCATTGCTGTTTGTCCCTGGCTTCTACAAAGTGCAAGGGGCTGGGTGCCCAGTGCTTGTTGAGTGCCAGGGATCTGGACAATGAGTGAGACATACCCAAGCCATTCCTGTCTCTACACCAAGGCCCAAGCCGATGATGGATCAGAGAGAGGTCACTGGATTGCTGTACTGCATCTGTTCTTGGTTTTCTGTGTGTCTTTGGGAAAGGCAATTCCCTCTCCAGACCTCAGTTTCCCCACTTGAATCCATGGCTCTGCACACAGGCAGCCACAGCCCTGGATGCCAGCAGCCTTAAGATGGTTCATGGCAACTAATTCTGGGTCTCGGATCTGTTTCTCCTCCCAGGCCTTGAGGTGAGGCAAATGGAGAGGTCAGGGACCTCCTACAGACCCCACTGCCCTGTGTGAAGTGCTGTCTTTTCCTAATTTCTCACTTCCCTTGGGTAATGGGGGGGGTAGGTGGGTGAGGATTGCATGAGTGGTCTTCAGTAACGTGTGATCGTCAGAGGTCCTGGACCCCTTTCTGTTTTATTTCTGATCATGCCTGCTGTCCCCTTGGTCACCAGCACAGCCTGCTCTCTGGAAGGAAGTATATCAGCCATTGTACCACGTTAGGGACTTCAATCTCTGATGTATATGCCAAGGCATTTACAACAAGGAAACAAAGGCTGGGCTGTTCTGGGATCATCAGTAATTCCTGACCTCCCTGCTCCATGACCACAGGTAAGATATGCGCCCTCTCTGTGTTTGATTTCTCTGTCTGTAGAGTGGACATAACGCAGTAGCCACTCTGTTAGGTTATCGTTTTAGTCTCGGTTTTGTTTTGTTGTTTCTACTGTACAATTTCAGAGACTAAGCAATTTATGAAAAAGCAGAAGTTTCTTTGGCTCACGGTTCTATGGACTGGTAAGCCCAAAGGCAGGGAGGGCACTGATGTCTGCTTGGCATCTGGCGAGGGCATTGCTTTGTGTCAGTGCATGGCAGCATCACTCGGGGGACACAGCTGGCACTTCTTAGAAAACTACTCTTGCCATCCCAGAAGCCATCTCACAGGCTCATCTAACCTTCATCACTTCCCAAAGGCCCTGGCTCCTAATGACAGCCACATATGAATCAATCTGGGGTTGAATTGTTGCTGCTGCTGCTGCTGTTGATGATTGTGATGGTGATGTTTCAAGACAGAATCTCACTCTGTGGACCAGGCTGGTCTGACACTCACTATGTAGCAACTTGTGGCATTTGCCTGTCTTAGTCTCCCACAATTATGAATGCAATTACCACCATGGACAGAAAACTTCACTTTTCAAACTGAGATTTTTGTGTGACCATGTAACGTTATATGCATGAGCTAAACTTCCTAATATTGTGATTTCCCCAAAGTCATTATTTTTGCATGTGGAGGCCGGATAAATGCTGCTGGTTTCTGCTTCCACCAACTCTCCTGGACGTGTGAAAACATGGTGCTTGTGCACAGAACCTCGAAACACAGAAACCCTCCACCATGAGTGAGACATACCCCAAGCCATTCCTGTCTCTACACCAAGGCCCAAGTCAATGATGGCTCAGAATTAGAACTTGAGTATGGGGAGCTATTTAGCAACTCCAGCGAGCTACTTAAAGAGATTTAAACCCGCGTCTCCTAGTTATTCTGAGGTGCAGCTATAATTGCTGTTCTTTCCATATAAATCCTTCAGATTAAATGGATATCGAATGTGGAAGTTTAAGGATGGCTTATGGCACGCGAGCCTTGTCAAAGTTCAGGGTGAGTCAAGTCTATATTAACAGGAGGAAGTTGGCAAGTGTTGTTGGAGTCTTAACACTATCATTTGGAGCTGTTTGGGTGTTTACATTTTGGGGAGAGAAAAATTCAGGCCAGATAAGGCGGCCAGGGACAGCTCTCAAGAGCTGGGAATCTTGGCTTGGCAACAAAGTCTTATAATCATGGGGGAGCCCCTTCCCTGTTTGAACTTGGCTTTTGCCACCTGCTCTCCTAAGTGTGTGAGCGGAACCTGACCATCTCCACCATTCTTTTTGGCTCGCCACTTGCCTCTTCCTTCTGCTCCTGGAGATACAGATGCCGACACTCCTGGCACTGGCCAGAACCAAGCCTGTGTCCCGAGTATGCGGCGTGATTTCCCCAAAGTAATCTTACGTCTGCCTGAAACTTGACGAGCAGCTTTTACCCATCTGCCTTCCCAAAAGGAATGTCTCTGTGCAAACTGTGTACAAAAATCAACAGGCTCCGCAGAGCATCCGAGAAATGTGCCCAGAGGTGCCGTTAGGATGTGGGAATTATGAGGTGAGTGGTAAGAAGCCAAAAATCAGGAAGCCACTTGAGCAGAGAGTATAAACATAAATATCTCCAAGCAGGCCCCAGCACGGGGTTTTTATGTTGATGTGCTAATATGTTATCCACTAAGGGTTTATTCACGCCGTTTTGGTCTGCCCTGCAATTCATTTATCTGCATAAGGAAGAGGCACTAACAGGACGGTGCCTCATGAGTAGCGTCCCTATGTGATCCCCACCGCTGTTTATAATCCCACATACCCGGATCTATAATTCATGAGCTGATGGCCTCATGGCAGTTTCCATAAAGGCCACGCCGGGTACCCAGTCGTTAACGGGCGCACTGTCATGCATGGAATCGAAATAAGCCCTCTTTCCTTCTATCCATCACAGCCCCACCGACGTGTGGGCAATGATATTATCCAAATATTATTAAAACTTTGAACCCTGTCCTCATAAATTCTGGCCGAATGGCTTGCGCGGCTATTAGGAGAGGGCGATGTATGGGCTTCGGTCGGGGCCCAGTAATTATGTGCTTAAAAGGAAGCGTGGCTGAGCATTCTCCCGGCGAAAAAAAGAGGCGCGCGGATCGTTTGTTATTGCCGTGGCGCTCCGAAGCTGGACGCTCAGGCAGGTCAAGTCAACCTTACAGCAGGACAATTATCTGTCTAGAGAGACCAAACATCTGTTATTAAGTATGTACAGGCATCAAGGCAACATGCTACAAATCTTGTCCACTTCAAACACTTGGCATATTCCACACAACACCCCCCTTCACGTTTGGTTCCTGCAGCAGGCAGCTTTGAAATACACCCTCCCTTCCCTCCCCCTGTCCCTGGCTTTAATATACCCCGCAGCTGCTAAAGATGCTGTTCAAACCATGGAAGAGCCTTGCTATCATTTTTTTCTGACTCTTTAAGTAATAATAATAATTTTTGTTAGGTTTTTTTTCTTGGGAACTTTCTTTGGCGTTTATTACTTATCCAAGGAGTATTGCTAGGATGGAGATAAGGAACTGTTGGGAAGAACAAGGTCAGCCCGTGTTTATGTTAGCAGCCAAATGCCTCTTCTAGTTTGTGCATCCGGAACAGCTTGGATCATAGTGCAGCGCCCAGGACAGAGAAGGTTCTGGTAGGATTATGCAATGGGAGTTTAGCAGGAACCCCTTGAACCTTCTGTGTGTCTTGGGATGCCGGGAAAGGGACATGTGAGATCAGGTCGGAGGAGATATGGAGAGCGCATCCGGAACCAAGGCTGCAGATAGACAGGTGAGCCGGGAGATGGTGGAAGGAGTGGTAGCGATGTCCTAGCAGGTAGCATCTCGACCATCCCAGCCGAGCATCTCCAAAGAGGATTCAGCAGAGTGGACCTTCCTTCCTAAGAAAAAGCAAA